TTTCTGGAATTCTTGTTGATGACAAGAAAAGTGATAGCTTGTTTAGAAACAAAACTCGTTAAGTTGCTTATAACTCGCTACTAGCAAGAGGAATAATGAATAACAGAGTTATAGACTTCAGCTTCTTTGAAAATTTCAATATCAAAATTCATCGTCTGATTGAAAATCTTGATTTTCAAAGAATGTGCTCTCTCCCTTACAAAGTCTACCTAGAACTTACGGCTTACTTTTATTCAAATCTGTCATTCATTGCTCCTTCTAAAATTGAGTTCTCTATTTTTCAACAAGATTACAAGTTATCAGCCTTTGATCTCGCTACCATTCTAAGAGTAAAACATATAGAATTCTCTTTTATTCCTATCACTTCAGATTTGGCATATCGATCTCTATCTGGTGACTTTTCTTTCATCAAAGGCTCCACATCTCATTTATCTTACTCTTTTTTTCCTCTAAATTCAATTGTCCTACACAAAATCATCATCAATTGTCTCAGACCCAAAGGTTCTTCCAAAATTGATGTCTCTCACTATGAGGTCAAGTTGATTTGGGCAATTCAAACCTCCTTTCTTATTTCTCTGTCACATATGATTCTCCTTCAAATGTATAGAACTATTAAGAAGAGTAAAGGTCAACTCCGTTATGGAGCTTTGATCACCGCTATCTTTGAGTATTTGAAAATCTCCATTCTAGCAAAACTCAAAGGTAAACCTCTTCAAATTATGACTGTTGGAGAACTCATGATGACTAAGATGGGATACAGATTTGATGGTGAAAATTGGAAGGATAAGAAGGGTAAGATTATTCCTGTAGAAGTGATGAGTGCACAAAATAAGGGCTCTGTTAACATTTTTCATGATTCTGATGAGGAGGAATCAATTGAAACCTTAGTAAGAAAGAGGAAAGTACAGCCGACAACCTCCAGAACTGACAGACCAGCCAAAAGAACTCAAACCGTGGCCAGTGATTCTCATGAGATGCAGATATCCAATGACCAATCTGCTGAATAGTCTCAAGCTGATGAACGAAGCCTTGAGGAGTCAAGGTTTATGCAATGGCTAACTATTCAAGATTCCAAATACAAAGCCCGTGCAGACAAACATGCTGTCACTCAACTTGAAATTTAGAGATTGCGAGAAGAGGAGGAATACTTGATGAATTCACTTAGTGAAATTATCAACAAAGTAGTCATGGAAAATCAGCAAGAGACAATGGCCACTGTTGAGAAAGAGGCTGAGAAAGAACCCTCTAGAAGATAGGGGGAGTTTGGACATGATCATGAAGCAGAAATGCATGAGGAGTTTGAGCAAGAAAATGCTCACATTGATGAGGAAAATAACATTAATCTAGCTGAAATGCAGGAGGAGTTTGAAGAAGAAAATGCTCCAAATGTTGAGGATAATGATCACAATCAGAATGCACAAGAAGCAGCTCCTTCAGCAGCAACTTCTGTAGACTTTTCTCTTGAAGGCAATAACTGTGAAAACAGTCCATATGAAGCTCAACCAAGAGGCAAAGGGAAGGAAGCAGCATCTTCAAACCACTCATACTCCTTTTGGATACAACATCTCCTCGTCCATGTCAGACCATGCAACCATTACCGATCTAAGATGGAGACAAGCTGCAGTTCAGAATGAAGTTCGGGAACTTCACAATGAACTCAAAGAAGGAATTCAGGAGATCAAGGACTTGATGGCAGCCAGATTCAACAATTTGAAGGCTCAAGTTAGAATTGATGTACAAATTGTAGGAATTAACATTGCAGGCCAGATTCATCAGCTCTCATCACATATTGAGCAACGATTAAACCAAATTTCTAGTTTCCATCTTGTCCAAATGCCTTTCCTATCTGCACCATTTGGAACTTCTTCATCTGAACCCGCAGGACCATCAGTCCCTCTAGAAAATCAGCAAAATTGATTACATCTCTTCCTATCTTATCATTCATGATCTATCTGTTTCAAATTTTAATATTGATTTTTGTTATGTGTTTGACTTAGTGTGAACTCTGAATATTGCCTTATGATTAGACAATGGTTGTCTGACTTTTGGTTATGATGTGAACTTTGTCTATCAACTTTGAATATTGATCTCTTATTGCATTTTTATTGATTATGATGTTTATCCTTTCTGCTGATGTCAAAAAGGGGGAGAAGTATTATAAAAAATGGATGTGAATATGAAGTATGGGAGCGGCAGAATATGAACTGCTGGCGGAATATGAACTGCTATATTTCAGAGCTTAACAATAATGTTTTATATGCTTCGAAAGTTATATCATCTGAATAGACTATATTTTGTTTACATCACATATAGATAGTTTTGTCATCATAAAAAAGGGGAAGAATGTTGAGCAAAATCCCTAATGAGTTTTGAGGAATGACAAAACAATCTATTACTGACCAGAATTACACTTAAATTATTTGATGCAAGTAAATACTGAGTCATCAAACTTAGTTGATGAAAGGACTTTGCCATCAGACTCAAAATTACTCGTCAGACTCAATGAGTATTATTTTTAGTAAGTTTATGCAGGATAATCAAATTGATATTTTAAAATATCCAAATTGATAATCACAATATCGTTCCTCAAATACGAAGAACTACACTTATGGAAACCTTGATTTGATTGTATGGGCGATCAAATCACTCGGAGATAATGGTTCTTCTTCTAACGGCTATGCATCCTATTTTGGGAAGAATCTCCAATGGGTTGATTTGGAGATCAATCCTCTGAAGACTGTCCAACGGATAGATTGGAAGTAGAGGAGTATAAAAGGAGTGCAAACGTCGTACAAGATATAAGAACCAGAATCAAGAATTCCAAAGTTTGAATAGTGCTTCAATCTTACACACTTGTGATTACTGTTCTCCACGTTGTGTTTATAGAAAGAAAATTACTTGAGTGAAGAGTGTACGTGATAGTGTAGTCTATCATCTGAGAAACACTACTCTTGTAATCTTCTGGTGATTTAATAGTGAAACACAGCTAATAGGCTGCCAGCGTGGAGAGTGGACGTAGGCTTGATAAAGCCAAACCACTATAAAGATCTGTGTGCAGTATTCTCTATCTCTAAACTTTTATTTATTGTTGTTGATATTATACTGCATACATATATGTTAAACAAGTTCGTCAGAACATCGTCTTAGTTATCAGACGCAATCATCTGACGATAATTTATATATAAGTTTGTCATATGCATCCATTTGATATTAATCATACGAGTTGTTGACCTCGACTATATTCATTCCGCATGTTTAAATCATTTAATTTGTAAAATCACCTATTCACCCCCTCTAGGTGATAGCACTAGCCCTAACAGATTGATCATATATGTAAAAAGTTTTGATGAAAAGATATCATTCACTTTTGATATTTTACACGTATTTTATTATGGATTTAGAATTGGTGAGTTGTGATATTAGTTTATGAAGATACATAGTGAATGTTCGATTTGCTTAGAAGAGATGTATTACTCACTGAACTATGATTGATCATTCCATTCATCTTACTTGCTTTTCAAGTTTTTCAGTGAGTCGCAAGTAGGATAAGAGCAGTATTGTTATCAGGAATACAATTTGATAGTGGGAATTTTTTGGTATGAGTTGCATATCGCTATGTTGGACTTCTAAGTTAGCTCTTTGTTGGAGTTGTATATATCTTCTCGATGGACTATGGAAACTCCGATCCTTTAACCAAATGACTTTTTATCATATATATATATATTAATGTATATGTTTCGATATCAAATCGAGTTATGGTTATCTTTGAGCAACCATATCGCTCAGCTTCTACTGCTGGTTCTACTACTACGAGACGTTTGGGAACTTCAGCATCGAAGCAGAGTGTCCCAAGCTCGTTGCATGAGGCAAAAGGTGCATGGAAAAGGAGAGTGTTTCCAAATCTCTCCCCGACCCTCGAAAAGTATATGGCATGGTCTTGAAGCTGAAGAAAGCAATGGGCATAGAGTAGAGGACTGTGCTTCTGCTTTTGCTAGACCGTGTTTTCTTCCCTGTGTGGCAGTTGGAATTTGCTATATTTGTTAGCGATCCTATTGTTCTCTTAAGGGGCTTCTTTGTTTTCTTAAAGTTATGCAATATGATAGGACACTTCATTGTATCTTCTCTTCATCTTGGACTACTAGGTAAATATGTCGCCCAGAAGTAAGGCATACAAGCTCATGTCCTGCTAAGGTCATAATTTTGGTGGAAGGGAAGGTGCCGGTCAGGTCATGGGTACATTTCAGGTTTGCCAACAACAACTTCATCTCAATTCGGCCCTCTTGAGTTTCTCAAGTTTCTCTGGATCCCGAGGCCTCCGAGTTTATAATCATATCCTCTCGGAGTTGGTCTTCAACTTGTTCTTTACAGTAAGTTTTAACTCTGCGTTATTGGGGAGTCGTAATTAGATGGCCAAGATACAAAGCGCCCATTGACAAGTGTTTCTGTGACGATCCTCGAAGAAGGAAAAGATTCTTCAAGTTTCAATGCAAAATCCTCGTCATCTTAATCATCATCATTTAGACCTCCTCCAACGTTCGCTTCGCTTTAAAAAGAACCACGGCATATTTTTAGCCAGCCATGGGAGGCGGCTTAGTTACTTGAGTGAAATTCATTCGTCGGATGAATACTCAACATGTGCTAAATATATTTGTTTTCTTTTAGAGGATTTGTCATCGAAAACATTTTGAAAGAGGAGAAATTCTCTCGCGACACTACATGTAATTGACGACCGAATTGATCGATTTCCATTGCTCATTTGACGTACACAGCGCAAATAACGCAAAACATAATACTAAACGGAATTCATGAGATGGCATATATATTATATAGCCGATCCAAAAACACTGTGAAGTACAAAGAGGAAATCATCAAGTACAAAAGAGCTAGCCTCTACCATAGGAGAGGGGTAAGAGTGACGAAACGAGCAATAATCAAACTCAAAGAGTTGTTTATTGTGCCTGAAGCTTCTTGAGCTCCAAGAGGAGGTCATATAGCTTGTACTAGTTGGGCAACAACTTGGCCACGCTCTCCCTCTGCATGCAACGCTCGGCCCACGCCACAAACTTGGGGCACTCCTCCTTGATGCTGAAGTTGGTCAAAGCCTCCAAACCATAAAACCAGCTATAGAATGGTATCAGCAACACATCCACATACCCAAACCTCTCACCGCCAAAGTAAGCCTTGTCCCCGAGCTCTGTCACGCCCCAAACCCCATCAAGCTCGCAACATCCCTCTTTGGTCGAATATCGTGACGTCCCAGAAAATCACCGACCCAATTCAACTTATCAGAGATTTAAATCAATCAGCGAAAGCCACAAATTCCCGGACAATAATTTGCTAGGGGTACAAGGGAGAATAAACATCCATTACCTATTCAAACTTATACAATATCCACCATTTACATAACCACAACATATACATGCACACCAAACCTTTAAACTATATACCACCGATATCAAAAAGGATCAGCAGCCTGGGTATACCTTATCTCCAAAAATGGGACATATCAAAAGGTCTACCTAGCCCCTAAACCTGTCACGCCTCGAACCCCACGGCGCGCCACATCCCTCACAAAGGTCGATTCAATGCGACGTCCCAGGACGCGTCGCCGACCCAACGCCCAAACAACAGAGAACAAAGCACAGCGGAAATAGCAAACACCCGAACAATAACTCACATAACCAAGGATAGCCACACCCCCATCAATATAAACAAATACATAATTGCATTGCCAGGGAGAACCTTTACAGTATTCATATACAGCATGAACCTCAAAAATCAAAAGCGGGTCAACAGCCACCAACGTCAAAAAGGGGGGGGGGGTACGTGGCTCGGCGATCAAGTGCTATATCTAACCGGGGCATCTCCCAAAGCGTATCAGTACACCTGCCATCCTCAAGGCCGGGGGTCTGAAAAATTGATTTTCAACAACAGTGAGAATAAATCTCAGCGAGTAGGTTCCCTAAACCTAAGCTAGGCTAACATGCACCTCCTGACGAGCACTAAACAACACACCAATCAAACCATAATTGACTTAGGCCCTCGGGCCCAAATCCAATACTCACCTTGCCCTGCAAGTTAGGCACTTACAATACAAGAATAGGACATAAGACCCAATCGCAACACATGCGCATATCACTTGGTCACAACGCATGTCATGCTTATGCTCGTGCTCATACGCGTGCTCACGCCTCATCAATGCATTTTCGCACGCTTGCACTCTAGCACACTTGCAATTATCAATTTCTCCTCCGACCCGCGTAAAACGCATCAGGTCCATCACTTCGAGATCGATCTCTAGCCCGCGTAAAACGCATCAGGCTTATGGCACAACACCCGCGTAAGACGCATCAGGTTTGGCCATCTTCCGGTAGTCCGGGCATCGTCCCGCGTAACACGCCTCAGGACGGGTTCAATACCCCGCGTCAAACGCCTCAGGGCTTTATGTGATCACACATTCACATTTACCAAATTATTATCTGAACCCCGCGTAAAACGCATCAGGGCACTTTAGGTGATCACATGTTCATGTCATCCGTGCACACTCATATATGCACATGCCATGCCAATGCTCGAGATGTACACCTATGGCCATAACGTTCACACTTGGGCACTCACGAATTTCACAATGAGCATTCGATTGCACAACGCCACATAATCAATTCACCATACAATATGCTCAATCCACACTTCAATATGCCCAACCAACATATTAGCATGACCATGAAAGCAATTCAAAGCACTCTTGCACGGCACATAAATCACACATATAATTCGCACAATTTGATTAACATGAATTCGCGCCTTCAAGGCCCGCTAAGCTACTCCATTCTTAGTCCCACTAGGCACATGACACGGCACCACAAAATCAATCACAAACAAGGACAATTCAGCCATCCATTCAGTCCATCCAACATTTCCGGTAATTACGCCATTAAATCCCGAATCGATCGCGCCTTGTCCGAATCCATCCCGATATGGACAGCCACCACATAGGTCAGTCTAGACCAACAAATATCCTCAAATTACTTCACTTAGCTCCCCACAACATCATCCAAAACAACTACCATGAGAACAATGCGGGGCGCACACAAAACTCCACAATTGAGCCCGAACTTAACTGAGCTCGGGCCCATTTCGACCCCATAATTCCAGCCATCGCACAGCACCTTACGGGCCTCTAAACCTCAATAAAATCATCACAATAAACCACCAAATCAGCCACAATAACAGGCACCGTTTGGATCACAAGTTTCTCCCGCCAAATTCACAATTTGTACCCGGACCAAGGCGTCAACGCTCAGCCACTATCCAGCACACCACAGACCACTAAACCTCGATTAGAACATCATGCTAACCCACCGAATGCGCCACAACATCAGCCCTTAACAGCCTCCACAAACTAACCCCCAAATTGATCGCGCTTTGTCCGATTCAAACCCGATATGGACAGCCCCCACACCAGTCACTCTAGGCCACTAAATATCCTCAAAATGCTCCATTAGACTCCCCAAAACACCATTCTAGTCAGCCACCACAAGATCGAATAAGGTGCGTACTATAATCCCCATTTCAAACCCGAACTTTCCCGAACTCGGGCCATTCCGATTCAAACCTGTCCAGCCAATGTACAACGCCTCTCGGGCCACTAAACCTCCATTAATTCATCACACTAATTCACCGAATCCGCCACAATGACAGCCCCTAATCACCTCCACAATTTAACCCCCAAATTAACTTAATTAAACCCTAAAACCCATCTAGAAACACACATTAGTCTAATTAGGGTTTAGGGTTGTACTCACTTGGATTCCTAGGCTCCAAATAGGGCTGAGCAAGTGGCAATGGCGGCTGGACAGCGGCGGATCCGCTCCGGAACAGTAAAGGCGAGCGGCGGCTCCGGCGAAGCCCTAGAGCGGCCGAGAAAGAGAGAGAGCAGGAGGGGGAGAGACACGGCAAGAGGGAGAGGGAAGGAGACGGAGTGGTGATGGTGGTGAGGCGTGGGGCGGTGGCACCGGCGGCGGTGAGCTGGGGCGACGAAGATTCGGCCGAACGGGGGAGGAGAAGAAGTGGGGATTTGAGACGGGTGGTGCGGCCCGGGCGCTCGGCGGCGGCGGCGGCAGCGAGCGGCTCGGGCGTCGCGACGGCGTCGGGTAGCTGGTCGGACAAGCGGACGACAGGCAGGACTCGCCGGGACGTAGCGGCGAGCTCGCTGTCTTGTGCGCGCGGAGGAGGAGACCCGGTCGGTCGGGGCGACGGTGCGGACGGCGCGGCACGACGGTCGAGTGGCTAGCAAGGGCGGCGGCGCGCGGCGGCCCAGGGCGAACTCGGGCGGTCGGCGTCGGGTGGGCGAGCGAAACGGAGGTGAAGCCAGAACCAGACGCGGCGGAGAAGGAAGAGAAAGAAGAAGAAAAGAAAAAGAAAGGGAGAGAGAAGAAAAGAGAAGAGAAAGAAGGAGAGAGGAGAGAGAAGAGAGAACGGACGCATGGGGAAAAAGGAACGTGCGCGGCAGAGGAGAGAGAAGAGAGTCAAAAAGTCAACGCGCACTCGAGCGCGATCCAACGGACATGGTTCAAATTCGGAAAATGATCTAACGGCCCACAAAAATCTTAATTAATATTATAGGACAAATGGCCAAAATCAAATAATCCAAAACACACTGCGATGGAGGTCTACTAGTCCAAATTCGCACCCGGTCCAAAATTTCACTTTTCCACTATTCCTGACAATCTCGACGCTGGCCACAATAATATCGACACCGTCCAATTTATTACGTCCCGAAACTCCCGAAAATCGACTGCCAATTTCAGGGTCTTAAATAACGGCCAAATTCGATCGAGCGCGATTCTAGCAAAATCTCTATTTTAAAAAAAAAACAAGAACCCGAGAGTGATCAGTTCCCGGGCGAAATTCTATTATAAGCGCACTGACGAATTACACGTTTTATAAATCCCAAAAATGGGCCAAAATTTGGGATGTTACAAAACCAGCCCCTACGCCCTTGAGATGGCATCCACTCTGAATCCGACTTCTCAGAACTCGAGTCTGAATCCCTCTGAGCTGTCTATTCCTCTGAGGACTCTGAATCAACCTCGATCTCAATCGGGTTGTCTATATCACCCGACTCCACTAGAACTTCGACCCGCTCCTCCTCATCTGGCTCGTCCTCTGGCTCATACTCGAGCTCGTACTCTGGCTCATCTTCAGGCTCTTCTTCTGGGGCCTCTTCAGGTTCTTCCTCAGGGTCTTCTTCTTCTGGTTCCTCCTCTGGTATCACCTCGAGATCCACATCCATAGGATCATACCCCGCCTGAGATTCTTCCGGCTCCGGATCATGCTCGGCCCCTGGGGGCTCAGGTGCTGCAGGCGCAGGCTAAAGTCCGGACTATGCCAAGCTAGTCTCTAGACTAGTTATCTCACCGTCAGGAGGGGGTATGGCTGACGGATCCCAATCCCCTACTCCGTCAAACGGCACGTCAAAGCCACGGACAAGGCCAAACTCGTCCAACCCGTCCCTAAACATCCAGGCGGTGTAGGTGTGGGCCTGCCAGAGGGGTAGTCCTATATCTACCCAGACTACAGTAGTATGTTTCACCCAGTTCATGTTATCGTCTATCGAGTATTCTACAACATCATGGTCAGTATGCATAGGAATCTCAAAACGCTGCGGCGGCAGTGGTGGAAGGTTCATGGCTCAGGTCGGGGTTCTGAAATTTTTTGTTGAAACAACCATGAGAATACATCTCAATAAGCACACACCCTAAACCCCACCTAGGCTATCACGTACCTCCAGACAAGTTCAAACACAAACACACTCAACTACCACATAACAGGCACACAATTTACACTTACCTGGGCCTTTCCTGCGTGCCACCTGCACGTTAGTCACAATAGCACATATTCCAACCACATGCACATTTCGATTACATTTCACGCACTCGGTCCTACCTCATCACACTCTTTTCATTCAACTCGCCAGTGACCCGCGTAATGGTACCGCCTCAGGTTCACTGCGACTATCTCATGTTTTCCACCCATCTCGCCAGTGACCCGCGTAATAGTACCGCCTCAGGTTCACTGCAACCAACTCATAATCACAACACTTCTTGGCCGGCGTAATGGTACCGCCTCAGGCCATGTATCTTGCCCACGTAATGGCACCGCCTCAGGCTCAACATCCACCACCTACGGCACAACCCGCATTATGATACCGCCTCAGGTTGGCCGTCCTCCGGTAATACCGAGTATCGTCCCGCGTAGTAGTACCGCCTCAGGACGGATCAATTCCCCGCATAATGGTACCACCTCAGGGACTTTCGTAACCACACATACAACATCACACACCATTTCTCACTTATTCGCTTGCTCGATTTACACCTCAACATGCCAATATACTAGCCGATCAAACTTGGCCCGTGCACACACCAAACCACACACATTTTCTCATGCTTAATAAACACCCAAACATGGCCAATTGACAGTCAATTCAATTCAGCCCATGCGTGCACATAACGACCCACATTTAAATCAATCAACTCACGATTCAACAAACATACGAAGCCACTAACGGGCCCACAATCACAGCCACATTCATGGCATAAATTCAGCATTTCCAAACTCATTTCAAACCATATCAAACACCACAATCCAACCACACTATAACACACCAAACCGGCACCATTTGTCCCTAAATCGAGCCATAAGCTCGTCAATTCAATCCACAACGTCCAGCCCTCAACTCAAACTCAAATCAGCCCCGAAACATCACCAATTCAGCCTCGATTCAGCCAATACCAGTCAGTCCTCAAACAGCCACAAATTTCGCCCTAAACAGCCACTAATCTAACCAAATCAGCCCCTAACTAAGTCCGTTCAACCCCTAATCATGTCTATCAATACCCGACATCCTAAATAAGGTTTAGGGGGCGACTTACTTGGAATCTAAGCTAGCTCGACCGGAAGGAAAAAGGGCGGTTGATCGGCGGCGAGCGGCGATGGCGAGCGGCTTGGCGGACGGTGACGGCGAGCGGCGGCTACTGGCTAGGCCGGACAGCCACGGTCATGGTGGGGAGAGGCTGGTTCGGTCGGGAGGGAGAGAGAGAGGGAGGGTGGTCGAGAGAGGTGAGAGAGAGAGAGGAGAGAGAGAGGAAATTGGGAAATTTAAATGAAGAACACCAATAATTGGTGTCTAACCCCATGCAAAATGATCATCATGCCCCTCTCTCACATTTTCAATCAACGGCCAAGATTCAATCTTATCTTGAGATCAACGACCGAGATCGAATCTTTTCCAAAATATCCCAGGGTAATTTGGGGATTTCACAAAAAGTCCAACGGCAAAATTATCCAAAAATTGTCATCTCTAATGTGAGGGTGAAATGACCAAAATGCCCTTCCCCATTTACACTTGGTCTTAACAAACTTCCAGGGGTAAAACGGTCATTTTTCATTTCTCGCCGAAATTCGATTTTTCTGAAGGATTCGAACAATTCTAAGGTTGATCCGGTTAATGACAACGTCGTCCAAATGTTCTGTCGTGACTTTCTAAATTTCCAATGCCTAACTCGATCTCTAATTAATGACTAAATTTTAAAAAACGCAGCTTGAGCATATCTCAAACTAACGGGTGGCTTTTAGGGAAATTCGCACTTTTGACCCGTGGCTGATACTGAATCAAGCCACGTTCAAGTTCACTCGAGTCGTGATGACCTCGGTTGTCACTTAATCGCGAGGATCGATCGCTAGTTCCGACGGGTACGATCGTTTGGTATAGGTTTGGGGTCATTCGTCAATTCATTTCGTGGTCAAGCGAAATCACCCGCGATCCATTCGTATGACAATGGCGAACTGATCCCTAACTATCCTTGGATCGGCCTACATTGGCTCAAAATGTCACCTCGACAATTTTCATGGTCGAAAGTCGGTTCACGATCGAGTTCTTTGGTCGTGCGAATTTAAATCCCTAATTAGCCTTTCCCTAACGATTAGTATTCCCGAAGTGATCAATTCCGGGCGAGATCTAACTACAAGCACATCCATATACTATTCATTTCATAAATCCCAAGTGGGTCGGATTTCAGAATGTCACAAGCTCTCCCTCCAACACCTTTAAGCACTCGATGTACTCTTTCTTCCCTGCCTCCTAGGCCTCCCTTGTCGACAACCACACCATTCGCAGTGCCGGATATAACTGCATCGTCATTTCGTGTCTTGATGTTAAGCACACTTATTAAGGAAATGTTCGAAAGATTAAGGCATTGCTATCTTACCTTCTTGTCCACGTAGTCGGCCTAGAACCTGGCACGAGCACACTCATAAGGATTCGAAGGCAGGAGAGGAGACTCGCGACCCCAGGTGTTGTCGATGTACTGGACCATGATGAGGGACTTGCAAACAGGCTTGCCACCGTGGATGAGGATGGGGATTTGCTTGTTGACCGGGTTCATCTTCAAGAGCAGGGGGCTCTTGTTGCTCAGATCCTCCTCCCTCATTTCGAACTCCACACCCTTCTCTCTCAGGGCAATCCTGGCCCGCATCCCAAACGGGCTCGGCAAAAAGTCCAACAATATCACTTCCTCTGCCATTGAGAATTGTTGCTACAAGCTTAAGTTTTTGTAACTTGAACAGTGATGTAGCTAGCAAGTATCTCCAAGAGGGGGTGAATAGGTGATTTGAATGATTTTGAAGAATTTTAAGCGAAAACGATTTATAATCAATAAAGTCTTAACAATGTTCAGATTCTGAATGTGCTAGTATGCAGTGTAAGTAATATAATGAGAGATTAGGGATAGAGAAAACTGCACACAGGAGGTTATAGTGGATCGGCTTAGATCAAGCCTATATCCACTCTCCCATGCTGACAGCCTACTGGCTGGATTCCACTATATGATAAAAAGGGATTACAAGTTCTGAGTGATATCACTCGGTGAATGATAAAACTCTCTATCTCACACAATCACTCTTACAAAATGTCCCTCGAAATCTCAGTATTTAGCTCAGGAAAGACAAGTAAAAGAGTTGGAATGTGCTCAGTCTTTGGGCTTGTTGATTCTTGATTTCGTTCTCTTTCTTCTGCTCCTCGTTAATCTCCTTTTATACTTCTCCACTTCCAAACTAGCCATTGGATAGTCTTCAGATGATCATCTTCCAATCTTCACCTTGGACAGATTGGTATAAAATGGATTGAGTAGTCGTTGGTTGACAAAATCTGAATCCTATTAAATCTGGTCATCCATACAACCAGAATTTTGGTTTTCATAAGTAGAGCTTTATCCGTTGTGATATATACTTGCCATGATGTTTGATTGTCGCTCAATTAGCCTTAGATTGAGTCAATCAAAACTTTCTTTTCATAAAATCCATGCCAGATCACTAGCCGTTATGTTTCGCTCCGAATAAATTCTAAGTCTGAAGAATTTCTTATTCTTGCTTTACATTCAGAACTTAAGTCAGCGTAGGTCTTTAGTAAGGTCTGTACCTTTCAAAAGTGACGCTTGATGGTCTTCATCAGCTTGATAAGAAGTCTGAGTAACTTTTTAATAAAGTCTGTACTTCTTGTTCTAAAACTAATAGAGTCTGAAGTTTTCCTTCAGAACTTTGTAAAGTTTGAGTAGTCTAGAAAGTTAAGTTCTCTTGAAGTATTAAACTTGCTACTTTCAGAATATATTTACCCGGATTAAAATACTTCGGAGTACATATCAGATTTATAAGATTAACATGGATAGTTTTGTCAACTTCAAAATATATTATAAAATTTCCTTAACAATCTCCCCCTTTTTTTTATGGTGACAAAACTTCCATGCAAATTAAAAGGTTTGAAAAGATTTGAGAATAAAGTAAGCATAAATATGTATAAAGCGCATATGGAACAAATAATAAATATAAGTGCAAATTGTAAGATCTGTATCCTTTTCTTTTCTTCAAGTCCATCTAATATCCTGCATGACGTCTGCATATCAAGTAGTAATATCCTACATCATTAAAATCTGCATATATTCTCCACCTTTTTGTCAGTAGCAAAAAATAGATACTGAATAACTATGTCAGTCACACAAATCAAGTCCAAATCAAAGTAATAGGTCAAATTACACATCCAATTTCAAAGTTTTAATCAAGAAAGGGGTATGAAGCAGGCTATTTCTTGGAAAGGGTTCAAACAAGTTGAAAATTCTCCAAGATTTGAACAGTTTCTTTAATTCTAAGAGAACATTGACCAACAGCATGCTCCATACTGGTTGAACACTGAGCAATTGCCTTCTCAAGATTTTCCTTGTCTTGTTCTGCTTGAAGACGAAGATTATGACTGTTTTCCTCAACAATGGCCTTAAGGTTCTTCATATCTTCTTCAAGAACTGACTGTTTTTCTTTAATTTCTAGCAAAAGTTTGAGTATGGTCATGTCATCTGAGGGTTGTCCCTGGACAAGTTCATATGCAGACTGTTCAAACTGACCTTCTCTCTCGGTCGGAATCTCTCCCTGAATATCTGCATATTCTGCAGCAACATTCTCTTCCATCATTTGTTCAGGGTGTGGTTGTGGAGATTTACCTTTTTCTGCCACCATAGGAACAGTGCCTTGTTCATGTTGTCTTAAGCTCGATTCCTCTAGTGCTGGTTCTGAAACCTTGTCAGCAGGTTCTGACATTTGTGTAGCAAGTTCTGTGGACTCTTGCTCTTGACCAACATTCTGTCCTAAATCAAGGCTTCTTGTTTCATCCTCTTCATCTTTGAGGAGGAGTCTTCTTCTCTTTCTTACACTTGTAAAGGGCTTGTTGAGATGGTCTATTCCCTTGCTTTCTCCTTTCATTTTCTTCTTTCTTCTTCTTTCTCTATTTCTTCTTTCCTTCCAGCAGATTTTGCTTATGACTTCTCACCGATCTTTCCTTTGGCTCTACTTCCTGCAATCTCTCTTTCCTTTATGACATCAAATTGCTTAAAATTCATATTTGCAAGCATCTTCTCCCTAACATATATTAAAGGAATAAAAGTCTTGCACAAATCATCAGGAACATCAATGTTGAGATAGATAAAAATCCTGGTGATCAATGCACCATAAGGGTGTTGACCCTTGTCCTTCAGTAGTGTTATGTACATGTGAAGAATGATAAGATGAAGGAGAGAAAATGATACTTCATTCAAAATTGCCCAACTAAGCTTTACTTCAAATTTAGACAAATCTGTCTTAGACGATGCTTTAGGCCTTAAGAAATTTATTATGATCTTGTGTAAGATCATTATCTTCTTTGTTAGATCAGAATATGATATGAGCCATTTTGAGCCTTTGGAAAAATTCGGATTTTCTCATGCTGCCTTGGAAGCTTCTTCTTCACTAACCTCAATGGGAGTAAACATGCTATGTTTGACTCCAATAATAGCAACCAAGTCATCAGCTTTCAGATCATACTCCGTATCACCAATAGTAAACTGAATCCGATTAAGAGACAAAATGGATAGATTGGATTAAATGTATGCAGTCAATTCAGCATACATATGTGCAGATTGAAGGTAAAATTCAGACATTCCCAAATTGTCAAATTGATGCTTCACGAAAATTTCGGCTTTTTCAAGATATTGTAAATCAACACTCCTGTGATTCATAATTCCTCTAGACGTCAAGATTTTGTAGTACTCATTATGCATTCGAGTCCAGAACAGACTGCCTTTTCCCTTGATTCCAGAAGCAATCCCAATTTTCTATCTCGAAATTGTTAAGAAGCCTTGCATCATCATCTTCCTTTATCTTTTCAGTTTTAGATTCTGAGTTGCTCTTTGATGTAGGGCTTGTAACAACAGGTTTCTTTAGAGTAGGATTAGATGATTCTCCCACTTTTTCTTTTCCTTTCCTTGATACACTCTCTTTTCGTTCAGGGCTAGACACATATTTTCTAGAATGACCAGTTGCAGACTAAAACAGAGAATACGTTTGTACAAGATGTACTTCTAATCGATAACATTGTCTTTTAAACATGCATTTAAGACCGACTCAGAAGCATTGCTCTTCTTCAACTTTTCGTAAGTCTTCCAAACAAAGTTAAAATCTTCAAAATAAAAATCTGTTTTACCAGAGGTTTTTGGAGGAGAAGACTGTTGAGATGCTTTAGGAGATGCTTTGGAAGGTATTTGCGTGTCTGATTCTATTTCAGACAAATTTGAGACCTCCATATATTCTGCCTCTGCTGTAGACTTTGAATCTCTATTAAGAATCCTCGATGATCTTCTCTTGCAAGGCATTGTGGTTGAATGATGATTTTTGGAAGAGAAAGGTTTGATCTTTGAGAGAGATGATGAGTAAGGTCTGAGGAGGTGTGAGAGTCAGGAGCAAGCAGACGGGTTCCTATTAGGGTTTTATGAAGGAGACGGTTTTTTAGAAAGAACACCGCTTTTAGAAGTTAGAAAATGCGATCCGATTATTTAGAAATTTTGAAAAATAAACAAAAATATTAAAAGCACTATCAGTCAATCAGATAAATTAGAATGCGTACCTGATTTTCTTCCAAAAATATGTGACTAGATATAGCCAAAATTTCCTACCATAAATAAAATATGCTCACCAAAATTTGAAATTACCTTACATTTGAGTCTAAATATGGATTTCAGACTTAGATTGCCTGAGTATGAAAAGTTCCTGTCTAAGAAATTCTTCAAGTAGAAGGGTAATTAATGCATAATTTATTTCGTATAAATTCAAATGATGATTTATCTAAAGGTTTTGTGAATATATCAGCTATTTGATTTTTAGAATCAATAAATTGAGTATTCACATCAACATTTTCAACATGATCTCTGATGAAGTGATGCTTGATTTCATTATGCTTGACTCGTGAATGGAGAATTGGATTCTTGGTCATATTTATGGCGCTTGTGTTGTCACATTTAATTGGAACATTTCATTCTTCAACTCCAAAATCTCATAGTTGTTGCTTCATCAACAGAATCTGAGCACAACGGCTTCCCAAAGCTACATATTCTGATTCTGCTATAGAAAGCGCAACTCTACTTTATTTCTTTGAGTACCAGGACACTAACATATTTCCAAGTAATTGACATGTTCCTTTGGTACTTTTCCTATCAACTTTACATCCAGCAAGGTCAGCATCAGAATAACCAATAAGTCTAAAATTCGATCCCTTTGAATACCAGAGACCTAATATTGGATGAGTTACAATATATTTGATTATCCTTTTGACTGTTGTAAGATGTGATTCATTTGGGTCAGATTGGAATCTAGCACGCATACAGACACTAAATAATGTATCAAGTCGAGATGCAGTAAGATATAGCAATGATCCAATCATGCTTCTGAACACCTTATGATCAACCTATTTACCACTCTCATCTTTATCAAATTTGGACGAATGAGACATTGGAGTGTCTATTTTCTTGCTGTTGTGTAATCCAAACTTCTTCACAATCTCTCTTGCATACTTTTCTTGGCAAATGAAAGTACCATTCTTGGTTTGTTTCACTTGCAGTCCAAGAAAGAAAGTCAATTCTCCCATCATGCTCATTTCAAACTCATTTTGCATGCACTTTGAAAATTCCTTGCAAAGCACTTCATTAGAGGATCCAAATATAATATCATCCAC